TCGCACATGACAGGAGGTGCTTTGTAGATTATCCTTTCTTTTTTCTTTTCCTTAACCCTCCGTGGTTCTTCCGGCCATTGGTTCTTAGGACCATACAACCACTCCTTGAAACGACACTTCGCCATTAAAAACACATAAATAATGAGACATTAGTACATGAACACATATAGCTCAAGATTTCAACACATACACTTTGCACTTACTTCATGCTTGTTTGGATACACAAACTCCAACGTATTCTCAGGGTTTATCACAGCTCGATCTCCGCAATCGCACAGAGGAGGTTCCTCGAGTCATCTAACTACGGCTAGGTGCTTCTTCTTCGCCGTCATTGGCGGAGGGTTAGGGGGGTGGAACCCACCGCTTGAAGTGCTCACGTGGATGTTTCCCTCTAAACCAATCGTCGAAAAAGAGGTACCTAGGATTAAACTTGTCTGCACCATCGATCCACTGAAAGAAAAAGCACCACTCATGGTCCTACACAACGAGATTCCAACAAAATATTAGTAGCATACTTACACAAATAAAGAAAAAGGATAGTGCAAATAATTTCTTACATTAAACCGACTACATGTGTAGAAGCAACGCGCCGCTGTGTCCGGATGTTTCGATTGAAAAACATGGGCCGGGAAACCACAGTCACAGTTAGGGATAGTGAGGTCAGGAGGGACGGGGGCATCTTTGCTAGACGCGTCGGGGTATAATTCTCGAGGACGACCCCGTTTTCGCCAAAACTCCTCCCGAAACATTTTTTGCATCTAACAAAATGGATGTAATTTAACAAACATAAATCAAAACATCACAAATAAATATCAATGAGAACCATAACTACAATACAACCAATTTCGTTCTAAGAACCGAAAGCAGTTAACATTAAACCCTAAACCTAGGGTTTCCCATTTGATCCACAACAATGAACCCATAACATAACTACATGCGCCTAGGTTTGCTACCTTTTTCCACGCCTTGGAATCAACCTACGGTTGTATAATACATATATTGAGGGATACAATGAAACCCTAAGTGATGACGATTCTTAGGTTCAAAAATCCGACTAATATATACCGAATCAATGCGAAAAAAACAAGGAGGGGAGCGAGGATACCTTGCTCTCGAAGATCTACGGATCAAATCAAGGTTTTCAAGGTCCAATATGACGATTCGTGAGGTAGGATGAAGTGGGGAGAGAAAACCCGAGAGGGAGGAGAAAGAAGAGGAAGAACGCTCGGGTAGGAAGGTTGGGCCGAGGTTAAATGCAAGGAGCTCGGCGCCAGTCACTACGGCGCCGAGCTCGGCGCCAGTCACTCTGATGCCGAGCCCCCTGGCAGGTCATCGACCGTGCCTAGGAGCTCGGCGCCAGAGATGCTGGCGCCTAGCTCGGCGCCGAGCTAATGGTCTATTTCTGAATTCTTTTCGTCAGGGGTCTATTTGTGAGAAACTTTCAAAAAATGACCAAATTATAAAAAATTCGGACGGCTATGCGCCCGACACTAGAGACAGGGAAGATGTCCAAGAGGGAGTGGTGATCCGGTTTATAAGACATATACACGGATTAGGGTTGAAGACCTGGTGGAGATTGGATCATGACTTGGATGGTTTTGTTGTTGGGCTTAGGCTCCGTCGAGCTCGAGCTACTTTTTTAATCTCCAAGTAAATTAATTTGTAAAGTCATATTAAGTCATATTTCTTATATATATTTGATCAAATTTATAGAAAAGAGCATAAATGTTTGCAACACCAAATAAACATATTATTATAAAAGTATATTTTATGGTGTATCTGATGGTGCTAATTTAGTTTCATAATTCTTAGTATTCTTTTCTATAAACTCTATTAAATTAAAAAAAATTGACTTAAGACAACTCTAAAGATTTATTCAAGTATAGAGAGAGTATATAACAAGCTAAAATGCTACCTCGGTTTGTGTTAATAAAAGTCAACGAGCTGAGTAACTTGCAAATTCGGCCGGCGCCAACTTGGTGCCCAACTAAACAAGGCCCAAGCTAAAATGCTACCTCGGTTTGTGTTAATAAAAGTTGACGAGCTGAGTGAGCAAACAGGCCACGGAGCTTCGAAATTGTTAGGTTGCGCCGCTAAAGTTGAGAGATGTCACTTGTACGAACATATATTTTTTTCTATGTCCTGTTACTCGTAGAGAACAGTACTACGCGAAACGATGTGTACGTTCTACGTACTACGTAGTGACTAATGAACCTCAGGAAGCAGATTTTTTCGTCTTTATGTCCTGTTACGATAATAAGTCCAAGGAAGAACACAAGGAGCAAAAAATTTTCTTGATAAAGATTCAACAGAGAGGGAAGCAATCAGTTTGCCCAAATATAAAGAAATAATGCCTTCTCCACGCAGGCAACGATCAGGAAGGGATGTTTATGTCCTGCGCCCAAATGGGGAAAACACGGATGTCCAACAGTTTGCCTGAAAGAAATAATGCCTTCTCCACGTAGGCAACGATGGGGATGTGTACCTGCGCTCAAATGGGGAAACCGGATGTCCCTTTGCGGTTCAATTCGTGACCAGCAATAAGCCAATAAGACAAGCTAGAGAGAGAAAGAGCAAGTGTTCTCTTGGAAGGAAAGCTTCCTGAGAAGCAAGAGCAACACGATCTACTGGACCAACATTGCATCTAAACCAAACGTCTTTTAGGGCGCTCCAAATGCAGAAATTATTATAGTTTTTATGGATATTAATTATACTGCCACCTAAACATTTTACTGATGTGGTAAGTTAGTTATTGAAGAGAGAAAGCAAAAAATATAAAAGCCGGGTCTAAGTTAGAAATCATATCTACACGAGAACCAAGACATGATGTGATGTGATTGGTAGAGAATGAAGAGAGAATATATGTGATTGGATAAAAAATTATTCTATAGAAACTATCCATTGGGACCATGGTTTCTATATGTAATGGCGCCGTTCGCTGGTCTGGTAAGACCAACCGGCTGATCTTCCTCACAAGCCACTGTTTATCAACCAGCCGCTACAGTGTTTCTCTTTCACAAAACCAACGAGTTTCAGCCAAGTTTCAGACCAGCGAACGAGGCCAATGTCTATAAAAATTAATAGGTATAGAAACTATATGTAGCTTGTAGCATTGAGACTGTCCTTATTTTCTTGATCTGCTTTGCGCTACACGTTGCTACTCCCTTTACCCCATTGATATGAAAATGACGGCTTCTAAAACATTCACCTTTTTATGTGAAATTTCCCTTACCTTCGTGGGATTTGGACTGTTTTGTATTCGAGTTCTTTTGTTTCTACAAAGTTCATGTGAAACTAGCCGGCACACCGCGCTTTTGCGGGAGGCCAAATTGCGAGCTCCTGATTACTCTAGCCTCTAACATAGTTTTAGTTCATATAAAAACTGAGAAGACATGGAAACAAAAGCAAACGTAGCCCATTTTGATTTAAAACGTGTCAAAAAAAATCCTGTACATATTTAGATGGGCAAACACATATGAAAAAAAAATAGGGACACAGTCCAAAATATGGAGTGGATATTCACCTGTTCGCTTGAACTACTTTTCAGCCAACGAATAGTGTTCTCCTCTCACAACAAATTAGCATAAGCATCAACATAAGCTAAATTTCAGCATAACCGACATGGTGATTGCTCTTATGGAGAACACTGCAACACCAAGACGGAGCGAATTCTATTGATGGGTACTGTTCCATGAACAATGCAATAGTGGCTGGCCACCGTACAAGCTATATTACTCTTTATAGATGATGCACTAAGATCACACAATACGACGAAATATAACCCATAAGAGGGTGGCATGTGCGGACGCACAAGGGGCGCAGTAGTTGAGATGCTCCGGTGGGAGCCAGCCGGCCGGGGCTTGAACCCCGGTTCCACACACCTCCTTAAAGGCAGCGGACAAAGGCCGCCATAAAAAAAAAGGGTGGCATGTGGGGGCGCTTTAACAAAACCACTCACTAAGATCTTTTCTTGAGTTCTTGTCTGTAAAAGCCTTCCACTTCGTCACTTGATAATGTACCTAGACAAAAACTTTGAGCATCCCTTCTTTTTTTTCGTTTTCCAAAACGTGACAGTTTTTTTATTTTTCTTTTTTGCAGGAACGAACGTGACAGCTTAGAAAGGGTGGTCCTGTACGTCTTGCGTCAAAATTTTCCACAGCTCCATAAACCTTCACGCGTCCTAATAAATCAAGCTTCCTTCTCATCTGACGTTCGCATGCATGATGCGTCATCACATACGACGCGCAAAACCGAGTTACTACGCCACGGAGATTTTTTACATACCAGAAACGGTTAAACACGGAGTCGCCATTTACAGGCGCTAATACTTGCTTCAAGTAAGGTGTACGTGGCCGCCCCGCCCCCCGTCCCACGTCACAAGATACTCGCGATCCGTCCCGGACGAGCGCAAACCGGCCGACGTACGACGCGACGCCGGCGCACGGGCCGCTAGCCCTCGTCCCCGCCCGCCCGACCCCGACCCCGACGACCTCGACCCGGCCGGCCCGACCCCCGGCAGCTCCCGCGCGCGGATCGCTCTCGGGCTGCGGCTCGCGGGACCGGGTGGCCACTGGCCACCCCATCGAGCCTTTTTTTCGATGTGAAATCGTCGCGGGATCCTGACGTCGCCTGACTAACCGACCCGCTCCGCGTCCGCGTGTTTTTCGTCCGCTTCCTCCGGTTTCGATGCTCCGGCCGATGCCTTTTTGCTCCGCCTCCGCCTCGATATCTACCGGCTGCTTTGCCGCCGTACGCGCGCGCGCGGCAGGCTACTGCGGCTGCCGCGCGCGGCCGCAACGCGCCGTGGCGTTGCCTTTGTCCCCACGCCTCCATCGCGTTCTCCCACTGGCCACTGCGCCGCGCCAGCGCCCCCTCGACTCGCGCTTATATAAACCCTCCCTAATCCCCTCGGAATCCTCCCCGACCGGCTCGCGCTGCCTGCACACACACACACGCAGATAAAGATAGCCAGATAGGATCCATCGAGAGCAAAGCAAGAGATGGCCGCGTGCAGCTGCAGAGTGGCGGTGCTGGTCCTCCTCTTCTCGCTCGCCGTGATGCTCGTGGCGACGCCTCCTCCGTGCGCAGCAGCGGCAAGGGTGCTGCTGCTTGTTGCCGACGTACGACCACGCGCCGGCACCGCCGGTGGGGAGCATGGCAGCAGCAAGGGAGATGGACCGTCGTTACCGACGGCGGCGGACGAGAGCAGGCTCCGGCGAGGATCGCCGCCGGCGTCGTTGGCCGGCAGGAGGACGACGGCCGCTGGCAATGCCGCCGCGCGGGTGCTGGGGTCCGTCCCGAGCCCCGGCGTCGGGCACTAGCTTCCTACACGACGACGTACCTACACACGTACACGTCAATAATGGTGGTCGATCGTCGACATGATTTTAGCGCCGTGCCCATGCTGTTGGTTGAGTACTTGAGTTTATTGGTTTCCGTGTGTTCTTTCTTTGCTGCTGCTTCTCGCCGATCGAGTGATCATCTGATTGGAGGTTGAGTACCATACGAAGGAAGTTTTGTAGGTCCGGTCCGTGTCCGTTCTGCCTGCCATGCCATGCCGTGCGTGCGTCAGACGGTCGTCGAGCTACTAGCTAGCAAGAAGCTGTCCGTACGCTACGTCTTGTTTCGACCACTTGCCTTCGTCTTGTTTGGTTGTTTTTTAGCTAGGTTGGGGAACTTGAGAGAGTGTTGCCTTACTGTGTATGTATGTCTGCTTGTACATAGCAATTCCATTCATTGATTACTACTACTCCTACATCATGATTACCACTACTTGCTTAATTATCAGCTTCCCATTTTTTTGAGCAATTATGAGCTTTCATTCATACACACATAGTTATATAGGACAGATTATGATGATCCTTTTCAAAGATACATGTCCCGGTTTGATCCGGATCAGAAGAATGGATCCACCTTATTATTAAGCTGTATCTATGATATATGTAGACCTTTTGGAATAAGTTGATTTTCTTTCTACTAGTTTTTGATGTAGTAGTATATATAGTAACTTCAAAGTTTCTTTCTGAACTGCAGTAACGAAATCAGAACTAAATTAAGCAGTGAACATTCAGCTAATTACCAAAATTCGTATGCGGTGTAGATAGAACACAAAAAATGGCCTTTTGGTTGGTCCCTTTTTTTCCCCCAAAAAGCAAGATTTACACTCCATATTTCTATTGTGGAATGGGCCTCAAATCCATCTATTGGTGTTTATCAACCCATGAAATCCTATATATATATATATATATTCTGTGTTACTGAAGTTTTTACTCATTTTGCACACAACCTGTACAAGCTAGAAAGAACTTAATCCAAGAATGAGCTTGAATCCGAATCCAACTCAAGAATACCTTCAATCCTTTGAATGTTCAGAAATCAGAATACAAATTTTATGCACCCACGCGCTCTGGACCGAACATGCGATTGCTCACTCTGCACCGATGCAGGGTAAAGAGAAAACATAGTATGTTCTTGTGAATTGGTTTTTCTCCAACGAGTAAAGGGTTTGTTACTTTGTAGAGTGTTTGTTAAAGTATATGGGCTTTGGGTGTACTTTTTTGCACATGATTTAATTTGTTGAAAGGTTCGATCCTATGTGTGTCTAGCTTTATTTAAACTAGACATCTATACAACCTCTGATACATGCACTTCAGCCTACAAAACTGCAACAACTAAAACAGAATCCATCTCTTCTTTACCAATTTTTTTTTTCAAATGAATGTACCCCGGCCGGCTCCATTATTCTTTATTCATCAGTTTTTTAAGAAAATACAAACAAATGTAGCACTATCCAAAAGCCAGTTAATAAACCTAACATTATCGATTGAGTGACGATCCATTTTTTCATGGACATGCTTGGCACGTGTTTCATTAAGAGAAACATGTACCAAATTAGTACTCCATGACCTCTGATTCGTCTATGCTATATTGTTATCATTCAGATTTCAAAATAATCATGTATGGTTGCAATTTTGCTCCCAAATAAATAAATGTTGTATAGTTCCTCGTACCTATCGGTGGACCATATCCAAACCTTTGCTGAAAGCAATATACACCCCACAATAGTCAGATGTCTACTACTATATTCCAAAGAGCTCCTTTTCCTCTTTCCCGGTGACAAAGATGTATATACGGCACACTCACATCTGCCGCCCATTCATTGTCACCCTACCAGCATCAATGCTATTTGCATTGGCTGATATGTGTGGAATGCTATCCTGGAACGAGATACCATTTAGTTCGGTAAAATGTAATGCAACCCCATTACAGAGGATATGCATCACTGTTACACATGTTTGATTCCTACTGTCTGTAACTAGTGTTATCTAATTGTGTCTGAAACTAGTTCGACTGCAGTGTGATCTGACTCTATTTCCCTTTGCATTACCACTGATTGCATCGAAGTGGCAACTCTCATGAGTGTTCTAGAAGAAGAAAAAAAAACACATGGTTCACTTTAGAAGAAAAAATGACAATGATAAGTTCTTTTCTGAAAAAAACACACACACACACACACATCTAAGGGTGTGTTTGCTGTAGCTTCTTGCAGCTGCTGCAACACTACTACTACTACAGTACCACAAAGAGTAAATTACAGCCACAGCACAACAGGCCCTATATCTGAATATCATATTGTGTATTTGACTATTTGTGTGAAACTAATCGAGACATGTTTGTGGATACAAAGTTGGGAAATGGTATATGCGAAGTGCGAAGCGGAGATGGATTGGAGTTGTTGATGGCAATATGCATGTTTGGTACACTTAAATAATACAACTGCAAAATGCAAGGCGACATGCATCTCCATCGCCAAGTGGCCCCTGAGAAAGGTCATATCTGAAAAATATCTGCAAGATTTTGGGGAGCGACGGCAAGTTCATTCCAAGCGCATGCTGCGAGGGAAATGTCACGCCCTTGAAGATGACAGCAGAGAAGCATTGCTGTTGAGTCGGCTTCCGATCCACGAAAAAACAAAAGACGACATCTCTATACATACACCATTGGTGTTGTTTGACTTGGTGATGACCGATGAACGAGAAAAACAAAACCGGTGACCTGTACATGTCTGATGCAAAATCGATGGAATTGGCCGCTTTATCTGAAGCATAGCACCACCAGATGCTGACAGTTAATTGTATTCGTCAATGTCAAATTCCCTGCAGCGCGTCTGTAATCCGCATCTGCTGCATACGGCACGACGACACCCAACGCATAATACGGGAGACGCACACGAGGACCAGGAAGCCGCCTCCTCCTGTACCACGCTCGGCTTGGCTTCGTCAGGCTCATATCACGCTCGGCTTCACCAGTCCTAACTCCTACGGGCCCGGCTGCGTCGCAAGCTGAAGCTACCAAATGCAGTGGATGAAGTCTACAGACGCGCTGCAGGGAACTGTGCATTTGCTGTAGCCTGCGCAGGTACTCCTGGCTGCAGAAGTCTCTATTGATTGTGTGCCCCCAAGCGTCCTCTCCCTTCTCATTTTTTTGGCCATGCCTTTTTTTCTCGAAAACCTAAGAATGGAAGTGTTAACGAACGTTATGTGCCGTGTATCCGGCGTCTGCCTGTGGTTACATCAGATGTGCAGACTGTAAACTGTATGGTTGGGTTTCCAAAAAAAAAAAGTATGGTTGGGAACGTGACGTGAGCCTGATTTGTCCGAGCGGTTCACTGACTTTGCCACTTGCCGTTTGCCGACTTGCCGTACAGATTTCGTACAGTGACGGTGCATAGTAGACCGAGAGACAGGAGCCCAAGAAATAAGGCCAGCGGCCCAGCGCTGCTGAGCAAGCCGGGCCCAGTCTATGTATATGGGCTAAAAGATGGCTGAACGGCCCGACGGCGCGTACCGTGTGCTACAGCCTGCCGGCCTTGGAGACGACTGGTCAGCGATCGGTGAGTCGACGACTCGACGTAGACTCGGATAGTCGGATAGTTGGATGTCGTGGTCTCGTGGTCGTGGACAAGGGCAGCTTTGGAGAAAACTGAAAAAGGTGGCACTGACAAGAGCTTCGCCTTCAATACTGCGTCGTCTGAATCGCTGTAGAACAGTAGCAATAGCTTGGCTAGTGTTCTACAGCGATCGCTGTCCGGCGCAGACGCGCAGTATCGAAGGCGAAGTAAAGAACGGATTGGTTAGGTGTTCAGGACCACTGGATCGTTGCCACGGTGACAATGGCATGTACACAGAAGGGCTTGCGAGGAGTAGGACACCGGCCGGCGACTCGAGGATTAGCTCGATCGGGAGAAGGAACGGGAGCTGGAGATGCTAGCCGAAGGCTCCGCGCCGTGCGCTCAACCGCCGGCACATGGCGCCGCCGCGGGCGTGGGGCAGCTTCCGGTTCCGCGTGGGCAGCTGGGCGACGTGCCGACTTGTCCTGCTGCTGCGTCCGCGGCCTTACCGTCAGGTAGACGCCTCTCGTCGCCGTCACGGTCACGCGTGGCGCCGCGTCAGAAGCGTCAGCCGTCAGGTTCTCAAAATAGAGGCGAAAACGATGTGGAGCACCGAAGACGGACGGCTCGTCAGCATGCATGCCGCTGTACGTATGGAGCGCTGCCTGACCGGGTCGCATCGCACATCTCGCAGTATCACACCACTGGTGAGCCGCCGGAGGATGAGGTGTCACGCCAAAGAACACACGCCAGGAACAGTGATGAGCAGATCACGCTCAAATGGCCTCGTCAGAGATCCAAAGAGGCATGCTGCTCTGCTCTCCCAGTCCGTGGCTGGGTGTACCATGGTCCATTTGACCCACATCTCTTGGGTTGGCAGTATACATACATACTACATGGGCCAACCGTGTCATGATTCGTCATGAGCCGCATGCAAAAGTGGACGTGGACCTGACTGCGACTCTGGATCCTCACCTGATCATTATACTTCCACAAAGGGTTGGTCGGTAGGTCCATCAGAATCCACACCAGATTTTTTTCCCCTCCTGACTCTGAAATTCATGCATGCAGTTCCAGGGAAAAACAGAAATGAATGAAACCGATGGCATTATCGGACCAGCAACTCAAACCCCAGATACAGATCAGATCACTTGCCATTTTCATTTTGCCAACAAGCCACAGACTCAACAACCACCCGATAGATGTGGGCACGCACAAATGCAGCACTCCAAGTTCCCAACCACAGTCTACCCTGCAGTCCTGCACGCTACCGACCTGCCTTTCGGGAGGCTTTCAGGCTCCCTTTGCTTCTACCAGAAAGAAGCGCTGTTGGTCAAGCTTACATTGCCACACAAAGCCTGTGTTGTGTGCAATGAGAGCATAGTGCTCGCCTCCCAGCATCATGGCGGCATGCACGCAGCCATGTTTGTA